CACCCAGCCCTGGCTCGGCACCTCGCCACACACGGGAGGGCGCTCACCCTGCACTTAATTTACCCCCCATTCTGCCCACGTGGGCTTGTGGACCACCGCCACCCAACTGCTAGAAGAGGCCAGTGAGCCGGGGCACGCTCTCCTCCAGGTAGACTTAAGGAAACACTTTTTTTTTTTTTGGCCACGCCACACGGCTTGCAGGATTTTAGTTCCCCAACCAGGGATTGAACCTGGGCCACAGCAATGAAAGCGCCAAGTCCTACCCACTGGACCACCACGGAATTTCCAAGAAAACACTTCCTGAGGCCGCAAACAGTGACTCAGGCACTATGGGGTTCCAGGCTCTGGATGAGCTTTGAAATCAGGATGGATGCCCAAGGGGTCAGGCAGGATAAAGCTCTCTGCAGAGTGAGGAACAGGCAGGGCCGAGAGAGGGGGAAGGTCGCCCAGTGCCTGAGCAGGTACTGAGGCCTAAGCATGGAGATGGGGGCACACGCCCACATCCACTGACAATGCACGCCACCCCCAGGTCCTCCACAACACAAGCAGATCTTTTACTGCCTTGTCTCTCCTGGTCTCACAACAGTCCTCCTTCACAGCTAATTCCTATCAGAGACCTGGAGACCTGGAGTTTAAACCTCATGCTTCAGCCCGGCCTTCCCCAGAGCCTTTCAGACCTCTCTGGGAAGGGCCAGGTAATCCCCAGGATAGGCTGTGCAGGGGTCAAGTTCAGCTCAGGGTTCTGGGTTTCACATCAGCATTTAGTCCCAATCACTGGCCTGCTTGGTTGCCTCTGAGGGCATGTCACTCCAAGATTCCTTCAATGTGGTTTCAGTTCCTGGGGTGGGTGGGTGGGGCGTCCCCTCTGATTCTTGATCCTGACATTGATCTCACAGTCCCACCTATCTCAGACCCCTTCTTATCTCTTCTAGCTTCCCCTCCAAGAGGGGTCAGGGGCCAGGGAAGGGGGTGCCTAGGTCAGCTCAAGGACAGACTCAGAATTAACAGCTTTTAGGGCATATTTGATAAGATTTGATTTCAGACTCCAGGGGCCTGAACACTCCCAGCAGGGGCTCCAGTAAGGCAAGTGAGGCATCTAGGGGGCAAAAGTTTAGGAGGCTCTCACCCTCAGCGTCCTGAAAGTGCAGGGTCAGCACGGAAGAGTGAGTGTCTCTTCAAAACAGTCTCTGACATAAATTGTACCAATCTTTTCTTAGGTCAGTCTCCCAGGCAATAGAAATAAAAACAAAAATAAACAAATGGGACCTAATCAAACTTACAAGCTTTTGCACAGCAAAGTGAAAAGACAACCTACGGAACAGGAGAAAATATTTGCAAATGATGCAACCGACAAGGGCTTAATCTCCAAAATATACAAACAGCTCATACAACTCAACAACAACAAAAACAAACAGCCCAATCGAAAAATGGGCAGAAGACCTTAATAGACATTTCTCCAAAGAAGACATACAGATGGCCAGTAGGCACATGAAAAGATGCTCAACATCACTAATTATTAGAGAAATGCAAATCAAAACTACAATGAGGTACCACCTCACACCAGTCAGAATGGCCATCATTAAAACGTCTACAAATAACAGCTGCTGAAGAGAGTGTGGAGAAAAGGGAACCCTCCTACACTGTTGGTGGGGATGTAAGTTGGTACAGCCACTATGGAAAACAGTATGGAGGTTCCTCAGAAAACTAAAAATACAACTACCATGTTATCCAGCAATCCCACTCCTGGGCATATACCTGGACAAAACTATAATTCAAAAAGATACATGCATCCCTATGTGCATAGCAGCACTATTTACAATAGCCAGGACATGGAAACAACCTAAAGTTCCATCTACAGATGAATGGATAAAGAAGATGTGGTACACATATACAATGCAATACTACTCAGCCATAAAAAAGAATGAAATAATGCCATTTGCAGCAACATGGATGCAACTAGAGATTATCATACTAAGTGAAGTAAGTCAGAAAGAGAAAGACGAATACCATATGTTATTACTTATATGTGGAATCTCAAATCTAAAATATGGCACAAATGAACCTATCTACAAAACAGAAGCAGATTCACAGACATAGAGAACAGACTTGTGGTTGCCAAGGGGGAGGGGAGAGGGAGGGATGGACTGGGAGTTTGGGGTTACTAGATACAAACAATTACATTTAGAATGGATAAACAGCAAGGTCCTACTGTATAGCATAGGGAACTATAGCCAATCTCCTGGGATAAACCATAATGGAAAAGAATATAAAAAAAAAATATGTCTATGTGTATATAACTGAGTCACTTTGCTGTACAGCAGAAACTAGCACAACATTGTAAATCAACTACATCTCAATTAAAAAAAAAAAGGGGGGAATTCCCTGGCGGTCCAGTGGTTAGGGTTAGGTGTTTCCACTGCCGGGGGCCAGTTTCTATTCCTGGTTGGGGAACTAAGACCTGGCAAGGCGTGTGGTGTGGCGCCCACCTCCCCCCCCGAAAAAGAGTATCTCTTTATTTTATTATTATTATTATTATTATTATTGGTGTAGGCACTTTGCTGGCCTTACTTTAGCCCCAGATTAACATCAGGGGAGAAGAATTGAGGAAGGTGGTCCTTCTGCAGGCAGGCAGGCATGAAGGAACAGAGCTCCTTGCAGCCAGAACCCAGGAGTTCCAGGCTGGCTCCAAAAGGAGAGAGGAGCCACCACGCAAACACAGGCAAAACGTTATGCAAATCAGCCTTTTGGAGGTTTGCATGGGGGTGAGGGTGGGAGGCTGAAGGAAGGAGCACCAGTAGGCAGTCTGCAGGGAGGGCACCTGGGTGGATGCTGCACCCATTGCACAAGGGGAGGTCCAAAATCACTTCAAACTCCCAACCAGACTAGGACTTAGTAAAGCACAACTTATTGAGATAGTTGGTTGCCACTTTAGGTCTATTCCAGTGAATGAAAAAGACACCTTAATGTATTTCATTTACTCAGTGAAGGCGAGGTGCAGAGACAGGTGTTTGTGGGGAGGAGAAGAGTGGGGCAAAGCAGACAGGGGACACAGAATCTTCTCAGAGGCTGATTCTGCTTATCGTACCGGCCACTCAGAGTGCCCCAACCAGACCTCCTTCAGGCCATCCCAGGCCCCTCTTCCAAGAAGCTCACAGAAGCTCTCCTCCTGGGGGTCCTGCCTTGGGCTCACCCTGTAACCAAGCAGGACCCTCTGTGGCCTTCCCAGGACAGACACCCTCCCCCATATCCTCTGCTGTAGCTCCTCTCTGAAGTACCCAGATAATAGTATCTCATGCATATTTCCTGAGTTTTTCAGATGCTAAAATCCATCGCCAAATGGAAGAAATTAACTACTTGATGATCCTGAGCATGGTGCCCCCAGACCTACTGGTGCCTGAGGACTGATAATGTTAACCACTCTGTTACCTCAACATCAACCAGAGAATTGTTCATGAGCTGATCACATACCCCGGCACGCCCCTCCCTCTCCTGGGCTTTAAAAATGCTTTGCTGAAATCCTCCGGGAGTTCAGGGGTTTTCTGAGCACAAGCCACCCATTCTCCTTGCAAGGCTCTGTAATAAATCTTTCTCTGCTTCAAACTCTGACATTTTGATTTGGTTTGTTTGGCCTCTGTGTGTCGGGCACACGAACTTGCGTTTGGTAACAACCCCATCAGCGTTTTTTTTTTTTTTTAATTTTTTATTTTATTTTTTTTTTTGCGCTACGCGGGCCTCTCACTGTTGTGGCCTCTCCCGTTGTGGAGCACAGGCTCCGGACGCGCAGGCTCAGCGGCCACGGCTCACGGGCCCAGCCGCTCCGCAGCACGTGGGATCTTCCCGGACCGGGGCACGAATCCGTGTCCCCTGCATCAGCAGGTGGACTCCCAACCACTGCACCACCAGGGAAGCCCACCCCATCAGCGGTTTAGCCTGAGGGATACTGGGGGACAGGACTGGGAGAAGATGGAAAGGAGAAGCTGTGTTGTCCTCTTCGTTTCCCTGACACGAAGTGCTGGCGAGTAATGTGAGCATGACTGGGGAAGGCATTCTAGTCCCCTGAACGTCACTTCCATTGGGAAGCCCTCCTTGACTACCCTCCCCACCCTCCTCAGTACCTCCTGGGCCAGGAAGAGGGGCCTGGCTGAGTGAGACTTGGGAGATCCAGAGTTGTTTTGCTGATTGCTCTTAGGTGTCCTGCCTTCTCCATCAGACCATGTCACTCCAATCAGATGTGATGTCATCTCCCCATCCATCAGTGTCCCTTTCAAAGCAGCCCTGGGAGAGCTGGGCTGTGTCTGCCCGTGCATCTCCCTTAGGCTGAGCCCGGCTCCCCCACCTGTGGGGTCCCACAGAGGATCTTGTGAAGATACCCCATACACACACTCCCTCTCCCCAGTTCTCAAGACATCACTGGGGAAAGAAGAGGACAGGATTATGGAGAAGTGGCCCAGAGGCCCAGAAACCGCCGGTCACACTGGGACACGTGTTCTGAGTGCAAGTCTCCCCCGGCCACCCCATACGTATATGAAACAATGAAGCTGTATTTATTACTTGCAAAAAGAAAAAAACAAAACTGTACTTGCTATGAAAGCACAAAATCTGTGCAACGCAAGAGCTGATCTTACACAGGGTATGGAAAGCATTCTGTTCAGCAATTGGCTGACTTTCAGAAGCCAGACTGTTTGCAGACTGGCTGACTTTCAACCTTAAAGTTTAGGAATTGGTTGCCTTTCAGAAGCGGTAGCGCTGGGGAATAAGGCTGTTGCTGATTGGCTGGCTCTCAGAAGCGTGGTCACTGGAATGAGACCACCACTGATTGGTTGGCTCTCAGCGTACTGCCGTAAGGCTGTCAATGGTTCTGCCAGGTTTAAAATGGATCTGTTCGTGGCTTAGGGCTTGGCCCCAGAAGTCTTTTCTTTTCTTGAATTTAGAGAATAGAAACGTTTTATTTTCACCTCTCCCACACTCCTGACTTCTTCCCTCTCTGACCAGCCAAGCACTGATCATCTGTGCCCCAACTTTGTCCAGAAGTTAGTCTGCCCAGGCCTGGCCATTCATTCCTTCAACACCTCTTTCTCGGGTGCCCACAATGGGGACCAGAGCTCTAGAAAGCAGACCAGATCCCTTCCCTCCTGGGGCTGGATACACCCTCCTGAGCCCAGAGCTGGGCACCCAGAGGGTGTTTAAATATTTGTTGAGGGGAGGCATGGTCAGTTCTACCTCCCAGGCCTCCAGGGCAGGCAGAGGAGACCTTGTGGCTCTGGGTCTGGCTTCCACTAGGGTCCAATCAGATGGGGCCTAGAGCAGCTGGGTGAGAACTCAGCTAAGGGAGGAGAGAGGGGCCCTGGGGAAGTTGGGGAAGTTCAGCGCACAGCACAGTGCTGCCTGTTGCATGCTCAGATAACCACTGGCTTGGGCCTGGGTCCCAGAGCAAGAAGAGGGCTGCCTTTAAAGACAGCAAAAGCCCAGGAGGTGCGTCTGTGGAACCTCTGTCCAGTGCAGAGAGCCAGGTGGGGACCAATGGCTTGTTTCCCCCATATTATTTATAGACTCTGCTTTGTTCCAAAGAAGATTGGAACCTAAGCATTAAAAAGATTGGAATCTGTCAGTCTTCCTCACTAGACATCCCCTGCGTGAGTGGTTGAATGAATGAATGAACGAATGAATGAAAGGCTGTAAGGGGATTGCATGGTGGATTTGGCAGAACTGGTATAAGCCATACCCTTCGGGTTTTTTGCTCCTGTATAATCTAGCCTCAGCACTTGCCACTCCCCTTGTTCACAGCTTACTGGTTCCTCATATCTGGGACCTAGTTTGAGTCCCTTATGGCCCAGCAGGGGTCTTAGTTCTCTTTGGGTGGTATTTGGGTCCTCACTCTGACTCTACTCCACCCAGCACTGGAGAGCTGAGGGTGTTCTGATGGTCTGGATTAGTTGGCTTTAACTCTTCTAGAAAATGGTGAGTACCTTTCGGAAAAAACAAAATACATTAATTTGGGTCCTAGGTCAGAAAAACAAGTTTATGTTTGGCTTTGGTCTGGGTTGGTTTTGGCCTTTGGCCACTGGTCAGGAGAGCAAGAGGGCAGGGAAGATTGTCTTGGCCCCAAAGCAGGAGAAGTGGGTCAAAGCCCAGCTCTAGCCAGAATCACATAAGGAACTGGGCCAAGCCTTCCCCTCGACTATTTATGTTAACACACATTTACTGAGTACCTGCCATGTACTAAGTATGGTGTGGGACTCACATAGACTCTGCCCCAGCCCTCAGGGGGTTCAGCGTCTAGTGGGGAGACAGATAAGTGAGTAGGGCTTTCAGCGTAGAGTGATCGGGGAGTGAGCAGAGGGACTGTCTGAGTGCAGTGGAGGCCCCAGATTCAGCTCAGGGTGAGAGATGACATCAGAAAGATGTTATGGAAGCAGGACTGGCTACATAACCTGTATGGCCCCATGCAAAATGAAAATGCAAGGCCCTTTGCTCAGATTTTGAGATGGCGATGGCAGAGCATAAAACCAAGCACTGGGCCCTTCTCAGCACAGGGCCTGTGTGACCGCACACATCCTACACCCACAGTGCAGGCCTTACTTAGAGGAGGAGACACCTGGGCTGTGTCTGAAGCATGAGTGTGAGTGTGAGGGAGGGGATGGGGGTGCATCGCAGGCAAGGGTGCTATGCAGGCCATGAAACAGCCCTGTGTGTACAAGGACCTGGCAGCTCTGTGGAATTCCCAGAGCCTTGTTTCCTCAGATCTGGGTCTTAATACCTATCCAGGAGCTGATGCAACCCAGACAAGGTTTTCCCAGGCCTCAGGGATTATATGAGGCTGCCAGCATCCTTTCTTGTCAGAGGATAGGGCTGGGAGTGGGGGGACACCATCATTTTAATCTGACATTATTGGGCGGTGTTTTTTGTTTGTTTTTTGGCTACGCTGCATGGCTTGCAGGATCCTAGTTCCCCGACCAGGGATTGAACCCGGGCCCTCTTGGCAGTGAGAGCGCAGACTCCTAACCACTGGACCACCAGGGAATCCCCCTCATCCTGTCTTAAGAAATAGAAGTTACTTTTTGTAATGTATTTGGCAAATAAATAAACATACAAAAGTGAAGTGAGAAGCCTACATTGGTTTTCCTAAAAAAACTAAAAGTGGCTGCTCTGTGAACTCCCCAAATCTAGGCTCCATGGGGTTTGCCCTCTTGATGTCATATGTCCCTGGAGAAGCCACAAGTGACACACAGCCAGCCTTGCTGAGCGCGCAGCTGGACAAGGGGCAGACAAGTTCCAGGAGTTGGGATTCAGGAAGGACCGGCGGGAAGGCTCCTGCCCCGCCAGTTCTCTAGTCTCTGCAGGGTAAGGCACCAGCTCAGGCCAGGAGCTGCTGAGAGGGCAGCCTTGAAAGCCAGCAGGGAGATAACAGGAGACGGAGAAACCAAAGCCTCCCCCGATAACCCACCAGGAAGCCAACACAGAACAAAACAGAGAGATAAGGGGCAGACTGCCTTTCTCAAGGCCAAACGGTTTTAAAAGACACTCCTTGGGGTGGACATCGGGTTTAAAGACTGGGCTGATAAAGAGGTCCTTTGGTGGGGAGCTACAGAGATAAATGAGTCTCCACCAGCTGGTTTGGTGACCTCCAACAGGACTGGGCTCCTGGATGGACGGCAGCTGGACGCCTCCAGCGCTCTGAGTTCCGGCCTCATCCCCCACGGTCAAGGCTGGGTTCTCCTATTTCAGGCTCCTCGGGCCTCCCGTTTTAGTCTAAAGTGGGTACAGTTTTGTTTGGTTTTTAAACAGAGGTAGGTAGACTGTATGTCTGAGAAATGCTCATCAAGTGTCTTGGAGCCAAGGAGGGCCTTGGGGGCCATGTGGTATGACAAAGGCCACCATGTGACCTTGGCTGCTACTGGTGTGCCTGTGCCCTGTGGCTGACTTTCTGTGAGCCTCTGTGTTCTTGTGGGCAACGAAGACAATGAGCCCAGTGGGGCAGGGCTGGGGGAGGAACAAGAGACAGTAGATATAAAGTACTCCGCCAGTACTGCCCCTGCCTGGGCGCTGGGCTTTAGAAGCCCTCACTCTGGTCCTGCCCTCCCTGCTCCACTGGGACCAGGAGTAGAAGCCACACTCCATTCTAGACTATACTCTGGGTCCCCTGCCTACAAGGCCCCCGGCCCACTTTCCAGACCTGAACTGGTTTCTGCCCACCTTATCTTCCCGAGAGCTGGCCAGTGGTGCTGTTGTGCAAGAGGACATAGGGAGAGTGTAGAGAGTTTGAACAGACGTTCTGGGGGTGCCAACACACATGAGTCCTAGGCTACTCATGGTGCAGGATGGAGCCTGTGATAGAATATGTCCCAGTCACTACTGTATTTCCAACCACCCCAAGACTTAGTGGTGTGAAACAGGAACAACCATTTTATCGTTATCTCTTACGGTTCTGGAGTTTGACCGGACTCAGGATGGACTGTTCTCTTTTCGGGTCTCTTACGTGGTGGCAGTCAGATGCTGGCTGTGGGCACTGCACCTCCACCTATGCTGCTGTGCGCCTGGACTTCCTTGCGGCATAGCAGCTGGGGTCTAAGAACAAGAGTCCTGAAAAGGATCAGGCAGAAGCTGTATCACCTTTCGTGATTTCTATAACTTTGGGTTATAGAAATCATACAGCATCGTTTCTGCTGCAGTCATAAGGCTGCCCAAATGAGAGGGCAGGGCACACAGGCTCCACGTCTTAATGGGACATGTGTCAAAGTACATTGTAAGAAGGTACTTGGATATATTGTGGTGGCTACCTGAAATATGCAACATGCCCCCAAAGAGAAGGGAAGCCAGCCACGGGTAGGAGCCTCTGTATGTTCTCTTGCCCCAGGCCTGCAAGTGATACAGGCGGTGGCAGTCTTTTGTCACCCAGGTTCCTCTGATCTAGGTGTCCACACCTGTGGGAAGCCATTCTGTTTAAAGCAGAAGGTGTCCAGCCAGGACCCCATAGCCAGTCTCCCTGACCTTGTGAGTCCAACAGCAGCAGCTGGGGTACAGGCCTCAGAGGGGAGGAATGATTGAATTAGTCCCAAGAGTTCTTTCTGGCACGAGACTCACCAGGAAACCCCACCCTTTCCCCTCCAGGAGCAGAGGGAGGGAGAATCTGCCACCTGGCCATGAGGTCTCCTATCCCGATGGAGAGCCCAAAGCCCTAAGTTCTAGGCCTCAGTCACTCTGTGATCTCGGACAACTCACTTGTCTTCCAGCCTCACTCTCTCCTCCCCTGTGAATCGGGATGGCGGGCTGGGCTGGCCCTGAAGCCTCTGCCCACTCCTCCACACCCAGCAACAGTGACCACCTGCTCACACGAGTCCCAGCTCTCCCGTTACCTCCTTAGGAGAACACATCACCCCTTCCAGAATATACCCATCCCTGGCTCCATGGGGGCAAACCTGCTCTGATTTTGATCACAGCTCTTTTCCAGATCAGTGCCCAACAACAGGAGATGTTTGCTGCGTCTGACTTCACACAGCCTCTCCTAGGGACTGGCCCATGGCTGGGGCCGCCTCATCCAAATCTCTCCCTCTGTGGTCTTCTTCTCAGAGAGGAGCCCTGGGCTGGAGGAGAGGGCAGATTTGCACCATTCAATCGGGTGGTGCAGCAGCAAGCATTTTCAGTTTCTAGAACGTGCAGCCCAGCAGGAGGGAAAGGCATCTTCAGCTTAATATGGTGGGGGCTGTACTCTCAGCAGGGAAAAGGGTCAAGGTCAGGTTAATGAGGAAAATCAGGGCCTCATGCAAGCTAGAGGGTGCATCCCCCACTCTGTGATCTTCAGGAGGAAGAAGTCCAGCAGGGAGGAGAGTTTGCTCTCAGGTCCTTAAAGGGAGAAAATGCAAGCAGCTGGGGCTGGTGGAGAGCAATGGGCTGAGAGGGAGGACCCATCACCACCCCCAACCTCAGAGCAGAGCCCGCCTGCCAGGGAAATCATACACACCCAGGGGGCCGTCTGGGAGGTAGAGCTGGGTTTCAGTGCTCTGTGGGGAGCGGTGGTCAGTCTTATGGGGGGAGAGTTTGCAGAGACACCAGTCCTGGAAGGTTAGAGAGAGGACTGATGGGACTGTGGGGAGAAGAGGTGGCTTAAGAAAGGAGGCTGTGGGCTTCCCTGGTGGTGCAGTGGATAAGAATCCACCTGCCAATGCAGGGGATGCAGGTTCGATCCCTGGTCTGGGAAGATACCACATGCTAAGGAGTAACTAAGCCTGTGTGCCACAACTACTGAGCCTGTGCTCTAGAGCCCACAAGCCACAACTACTGAGCCTATGTGCCACAACTACTGAAGCCTGCAGGCCTAGAGCCTGTGCTCCACGAGAGAAGCCACTGCAATGAGAAGCCCGTGCACTGCAACGAAAAGTAGCCCCCGCTCGCCAAAACTGGAGAAAGCCTGTGCATAGCAATGAAGACCCAACACAGCCAAAAATAAATAAATAAAAGGAGGTTGTGACCAAGCTGAAATGGAGAGCCCCCCCAACGCTTTACAGGAAGAGACCTGCCCTTACCCCTAGTATCCATCCCAGCCCACGGTTTGCCTCTGTCCCCTGTGTCTGGGCAGTTTGGGAACTGAAAGTATTCATTTCAGTAAGCTGTTTAAGCTTCCCATGGAGGCGGCAAGGACTAACAAAGACAGAGGTGACATTGTTTATAAAAAGGGGTTTACCTTGCGTGGGGTGCTGAAGAGTAATGGCTTGCCTAAGGTTGCCAGATCGAGCAAATAAAAATACAGGACTCCTGTTACCAAAGGCAAGTTGGTGTGCTCGACACACAATGAGGCCAAACAAACCAAAAAGTTGGAAGAGCCAAGAAAGGTTTGTTGCAGGGCCAAGCAAGGGGGACAGGTGGCTTGTGCTCAGAACCCGGCGAAGTCCCTGATGGTTTTCAGGGAGAAGTATTTATAGGCAAAATTTGGGGGTGGGGCTGCAGGGTGTGGCGTTCTTCAGATTGGTTGCTGGTGAGGCAACAGGGTGGTTTTCCAGGAATCTTGTGCTCAGCCTGAAGTTACCATCGTCCACCTGGGTGGGGGCCTTAGTCCCTGTAGAAGATCAAAGGTTTTGTTATGTATATTCCTTGAGCAGGAACCGGGATCCTGCTTTAATGGCTGCACTATAGTTTCGATTGTTCCTCCTTTGTTTCTGCATTCCCTTACTTCCTTGATTAGCAACTGTTTAAATCTGTTCCCTGGAACTCAGGGAAATCTAGGAGGCTGAAGCCTTTATCCTGCAAATAAGGAACAAGGAGTGAGGGTGGGGGGCAGATCACAGAAAGGCTTTTGTGCCCAGGAGGGCCCCACAGGGTCCTGCTCGGTTACAATAATACTAAGACATTATTTACCCTTTTCATTATGTTATCATTTGACTGATCACTCAAAAGAATGGTGGGTAAATCTGTTAATGCCTTAGCACAAATTAAGGCAGTGGCACATGAAGGGATCAGGATATGCCACCCCAAAGTATACCATTTTGGCATAAGGATTATTGTGACCTGAAGGCAACTGAGAATCAACAGATGCAGGAAGAGTTCTTTATCCTCGTTTTATCTACCTAAAAGTAGGGCATTGATTTCCCTTTGCGGAGGTGTTTCCCTCAGTACCAGGAAGAGAGGAGAGACTCATCACTGGAGATGAAGAGTGAACACAAAGATGAGTCTATGTAGACAGACCTTACTAGAATAACCCTTATCTTCCATCAGTTCCTTCATATATTTCCTAGCCACTTTCCCATGGTTTACTATTCCTCAAAGCTCAAACCCCCTTTCCTTTGTTAGAATGATATATAAGCTCTCAACCCTAATAACGTCTTTGAGGTTCAGTTCTTTTCTGTAAACTCCCATACATGTAAATATTAATAAAAATTGTATGCTTTTCTCCTGTAAATCTGTCTTTTGTTTGTCTAATCCACAGGCCCCCAGATTCTGAACCTAAGAGGGTAGAGGAAAAGTTTTTCCTCCCCACCACACCAAACTATACTGGTAGTCATTGTAGGCTTCATTGCTGTGTATTTGTCATATGAATGCCCTTGATGGAGCAGTAAAAAATATTAATTTTATTAAATCTCAATCTGTGAGTAGTACATGTCTGTCTTTTTAATATTCTGTGTGAGAAAGGGGAAAGTAAGCATGAAGCACTTCAACATCCAAAGTATGTTGGTTGTCTCAAGGAAACGCACTTGTGTGATTCTTTGAGTTGCCAGCCAAACTAGCTGTTTTCATGGAATACCATTTTTACTTGAAAAAAATGAGTGACAAACACTGATGATTCAGACTCTGATAGTTTGACAGACATTTTCTTGAAAATGAATGTGGTGAACCTGTCACTTCATGGAAAACGACGGACACTATTTGTTGCTTACAGTAAAATTTGAACTTTCAAGCAAAAGTTAGAATTTTGGAAAACTTGTATTCATCACTGTGAGCTTCACAGCTTCCTACTGCGATACTGAAACCAAGCAGGACCCTGTGGGGCACCTGGGCATGGAAGTCTTTCAAACAGTTGCTAATCAGGGAAGGGAGGGGATGAAGAGACAAGGGAGGAGCAGCCAAGAAACAGTAGTGCAGCCTTGGGGCAGGGTCCTGTTTCTGCTTCAAGGGTTATACATAACAATGTTTTTGAGTGCTTTTTTTTTTTTTTATCATTTAAAGCTGCATTTAACTCTTGTACAACCATCTTTGTATTTTTGGATTATTTTCTTTCTATTTTTTGTTTTTTGAATTTTATTTATTTTTTTTATACAGCAGGTTCTTATTAGTTATCCATTTTATATATATTAGTGTATATATGTCAATCCCAATCTCCCAGTTCATCACACCACCACCCCACCTCTTTGAGCTCTTTACAGAACTAAAACCCCGAACAAATGGAAAATGTTAGCATTCTTCATTCTGGAGAAGATCATAGTTTAATAACCTTGAGAACTTCATCAAGAGACTACTTGAGGCCAGATTAAAGGAACCAGAGAAGCTCATTAGAAGGAGACCACCTGAGGCCAGATTAAATGAGTGCAGACCCTGAACACAGCCTAATCCTTATCAGCAACCTGCCCTTGAACCACTGCTATAAAACTCCTCACCAAATCCTCCTAGGCTGGGGCACACAGTTTTGAGGGACACAAGCCTGCTGTGTCCCCCTTTGCCTGGCAAAGCAATGAAGTTATCCTTTTCTACATCACCCAAATCTCTGTCTCCAAGATTCGATTCAGCACAGAGGCCGAGTTTTTGGCATCAAAACTGGGATATAATAAGAAATATGTATTTGGTTTTCCTCCATTTATTTGCACAGAGCTCCTATAACCCTTGGAAGTTCCAGAGTCATAGGGGTGAGAGAAGGTCTTTTGTTATTCATCATAAGCCCCTTTCAACCACACCTGAATTTATGCTAATAAGATGACTTCTGAAGGATGCTGGGCTGGTTGCCAGAGGAACTAATCATAAGATTAGAGGGGATTGTGAAACCGTGCAACTCAGATTGGGACTTGAACCCACGTGCTTGGACTTGAAGCAAGCCAAAACCCAGACTGGGACTTGAACTCATGTTCTTTTTCTTTTTTTTGGCTGCACCACGCAGGATGTGGGATCTTAGCTCCCTGACCATGGATTGAACCTGCACCTCCTGCATTGGAAGCATGGATTCTCAACCACTGGACCACTACGGAAGTCTCGAACCCACCTTCTTTTAACTGAGATCACACACCTAGTCTCAGGACTTAATGAAGCTCAGGTTCTTGATGTCTCACCACAGAAAGAATTCAGTGAGAGACAAAGTGATAGGTAACAAGTGGATTTAGAGAGAAACACATTCCACAGACAGAGTGTGGGCCATCTCAGAAGGCGAGAGCAGCGCTAGGGTATGGGGTTGTCAGTTTTTATAGGGTGGGTAATTTCATAGGCTAATGAGTGGGAGGAGTATTCCAGTTATTTTGGGGAAAGGGTGGGGATTTCCAGAAATTGGGCCACCACTCACTTTTTGATCTTTGGTGGTCAGGGAGACTAGAGAGGAGTGGGGCTCCTAGCAATACTCCTGAGGCTGGCCTGTCCTCACTCCCCGCTCTGATTGAATCTGCAGGGCTGGGCACTTACTGCTTTTTCCCACCAGGAGCCTGGAGGATGAGGGGGAAGATGGGAGGGCTGAGGCCACTTGGTGCCCACTGCCTTTGATCAGCCTGTGGTCCCTTCCACCTCCCAGGGCACTCCTCTCAGGGGTTAGGGTGACCAGAGACTTGCTGCCCCAAGTTACCATTAGCCTCTAGGGCCAAGATGACTCTACTAAGTAGAGCTCACCCCACTCTCTCCAAGGAAGCTCTTGGCTCCAAGAAACAGAGACTTCACCTGTGTTTTCTTCCCTTCCTCAGGCTGTTTTGCCCTGAACCCTGGTGGCCCCTGAGGCTGCCACTCTGAATTGAATGTCCTGACCTAGAATGCCTTGGCTGCTCCGGTGACTTAAGAACCATATGTGAGTCCTGGCTCCCACCTTGAGCAAGTTACTCTACCTCCCTGGGCCTCAATTTTTCCAGCTGTATAATAGGGAGGGTAGTATCAACTCCTGGCTGGCCTCAGAACTGTCATGGTGCTGGTGGGTGTGTCACTTAGCTTATGCTCATATGTTACAATGAGCACATAATGAGGCTCAAGGTCCACTGGAAGTCAAGTCTTCCACCATCTTGGATCTAGTTAGTTCTAACCAGTTTTTGTCATGTCCTGTGACTATGTCATTCTTTTAAAGGTTGTGCCCTGCCCCCTTCCCCCCTGTTTCAGTTGGATCTTTTGGTCCCTCCCTTACCTCTGGGGAGGAGAGCAGGACTTGAGGCTGACTTAATCATCAATGGTCAGTGATTTAATCAATCTTGCCTCTGTAATGAAGCCTTCATAAAATCCCTTAACCAAAGGGATTTGGAGAGCTTCTGGGTTGGTAAAAATATCCATGTGCTGGGAGATGGTGCACCCCAACTCCATGTGGATGGAACTCCTGCACTCAGGACCCTCCCAGATCTTGCTTTATGTATGTCTTTATCTGGCTTTTCATCTCTGTCCTTTATTTTATCCTTTATAACAAACCGGTAAATTTAAGTGTCTCCTTGAGTTCTGTGAGCCATTATAGCAAATTATCTAAAAGGGGGTTGTGGGAACCCCAGCCTTAATAACTGATTAGTTGTCAGTACAAGTGACAACTTGGGACTTGTGGCTGGCATCTGAA